GGTGGACTGGGACAGGTGGACTGGGACAGGTGGACTGGGACAGGTGGACTGGGACAGGTGGAGGGGGACTGCATTCAGGATGATGGTTAGGGAGGGATGGAGGAGGCTGTAACATGGCGACTGACTAGACCACACCCCCCGCTGACATCCAGCAGGGACCAGGGGAGGAGACAGAACTCAGAGCCTAGTCTAAGGTCACCATGACGATGGACGAACGCTTTGGACCAGAGAACATCAGAGAGGAGCCCCCGATGTGACCTCAGCCACATGGAGCCATAGAGTAGAGCCCTGCAATCCTGCGGGACTCTCGCGGGACTTGAGTGACCAAACGCAAAGCAGGCGGAAGGGAGAGCGCACAGTGCAGGTACGGGCGGGAGCGGTGTTAAGCGGCAGTCCCGCAAACTAAAAACGTGTTTTAAAATGTAAAATAAAGTCAAATTATCAGTCTATGACTTTCATATATTTATATATAACAATGCTTTTTGGTGGGGCTCCATCATACGGTGTTTAAAATGATTAATTATAACTTATTATATTTTTATTTCATATGTGAACGTGATGATGAGCGGCATATAAGATTATGCACAATACATTATTCTTAATATCCTCAGTAGATTTTGGAAGGTTAGTTGGGTATTGCTGTGAAGCAGCAGCTCGTGCTATCTAACCCGTGTCATGCGCTATGCGGTGAAGAATCAGCCAGTAATGTGCTTAGCTTAGCTCAAACTAATTCCTCAAACTAATGACACGAATTACCCTGAGCAGTAGACAACCGCTGGAATCATGCGGGAATCACGGGTGGGAGCGGGACCGAAAACTGCAGGAGGAGGCGGGCGCAGGACTGGAAAATCTGTCCCGCACAGGCATCTACTGTAGAGCTGCAGGTTTGAGCAATTAGAGTGGTCCATCGGTCAGAGACACTCCGACCGAGAGGTCCATCAACCAGAGACACCCCGACCGAGAGGTCCATCAACCAGAGACACACCGACTGAGAGGTCCATCGGTCAGAGACACTCGGACCGAAAGGTCCATCGGTCAGAGACACTCCGACCAAGAGGTCCATCGGTCAGAAACACTCGGACCGAGAGGTCCATCAACCAGAGACACTCCGACTGAGAGGTCCATCAGTCAGAGACACTCCGACCGAGAGGTCCATCGGTCAGAGACACTCCAACCGAGAGGTCCAACAACCAGAGACACTCCGACCGAGAGGTCCATCAGTCAGAGACACTCCGACCGAGAGGTCCATCGGTCAGAGACACTCCGACCGAGAGGTCCAACAACCAGAGACACTCCGACCGACGGGTCCATCAACCAGAGACACTCCGACCGACGGGTCCATCAACCAGAGACACTCCGAC